CTTGACTTTATCGAGCAACAGGTATCGTCAAGCACGCTCGCTAGGTGGAACCCAGATATACCACTCGATCTGTATGTACATTTCACAGAGGGAGGGGGAGTAGGGGCACTAGCCCAGGGGCCCCCTGAAAAAGCTCAACCAATACAATGGATAGTCCTGGGAAAACCGTCACGTGCATTCTCTCCAGGAGTCGAGTGCCTTGGTAACCTCATCATGAAAGGCAGAAAACTCGCCCTAAGACACCTGGGCATCGAACCTGCCAAAATATACCTACCCTTCCGCAAACAGCTCCCAACGCAATCAGTGACGAGGTCAGAGTATCTAGCCATAGCCCTGGTCGGATTTGGTGGAGAAGTCCGGTACGCCACAAAGCCCCCCTGGACTCAAATGCTAGCAATTGTTGACATCGACCTTCCACGAAAAATTATAGACCGACCCCAATGGGGACCAACAGTCTTTACAGATGCATCGTCAACGACCTCAACCGCGGCAGCAGTATGGCAATCGGGAGAAAAGTGGCATTGCATCAAAATGACCGACCATACGCTTTCCGTTCAGCAGCTAGAAGCGACGGCCATAGTACTAGCGTGTGGACTATTCCCAATGGAACACCTCAACATAGTGACTGATTCGATGTTTGTGACCAAGCTCTGCTTGGCCATGTCGGGGCCCGGCGTGTCAACATCCACAGCAGCTCTAATGCTGGAAGAAGCACTTTTTTCCCGAAAGGGCACCATATCAGTCATCCACGTCAACAGCCACGACCCAATCAAAGGGTTTTTTCAAACCGGTAATGACAAAGCAGACACCGCTGCAAAAGGATTGTGGACACTAAGAGATGCCCGTCAGCTACACGAGTCCCTCCACATTGGAGCTAAAGCACTGGCAAAGAGATGTGGGATTTCAACCACTGACGCGAAACACATAGTAGCTACGTGTCCCCATTGTCAAAAAGCACCACTGTGGTCCAGTGGAGTCAATCCCAGAGGTCTTAAGGCCTCCGAGGTGTGGCAGACGGATTTCACGCTCTGTCAATTGCTAAAACCTCGAGCGTGGCTAGCGGTAACTGTAGACACATATAGCGGAGTGATCGTAGCTACACAACACCTTAAAACCGACTCCAAAGCGACCATCCAACATTGGCTGATGGCCATGGCGTGGCTTGGCATCCCTAATCAAATCAAAACAGACAATGGTCCGAATTTTGTGTCCAAATCAGTCCAGGCATTCGTTCTGAAATGGGGCATTACTCTAATACACGGCATTCCGTATAATAGCACAGGGCAAGCCATAGTCGAACGAGCAAACCAAACGCTGAAATCTAAATTAGAGGTATTAGCAAAAACGGAAGGTTTTGCCAACGCCGTTCCCCTGGGAGACCAAGCACGCCTGCTAGCGACCGCTCTTCTAGCGCTAAATCAGTTCCCCAGGGGGGAAGAGATGAATAGCCCCATCCAAAAACATTGGGCCACTCGAGTGCTAGAAGAAGGCCCATCGGTCATAGTCAGAAATGAGCTGGGAGAATGGGAACAAGGGTGGAAATTAGTTCTGACAGGGCGAGGATATGCTGCAGTCAGGAAAGATGGCAGAGTCAAATGGTGTCCACTTAAGTCCATTAAACCAGACCTCCAGAATAAAACTAGTGAAAACTGAGTTTTTGTCCACAGGACCGGATTATCGGACACCCCCGTAACCCATATGCCCCAGTGACAAGAGAGGATGACAAGTTG